AATCAGGAATTATCATTTAAAATAATGTAGCTTACAGACTTCATTAAAAATTCTTATAAAAATGAATTAAATTAAAAATTCATATACTATCTCTTCTAATGAAACTTAAGAATAATTAATAATTTTATATGACTATTCTTGTTGACTGAAGCTGTATGTGTGACTGGCACATCGAGTACTTTTCCCATTAGCAATGAACACATGTCAGTTATGATAAGATCCTATTCTACGAAAAGTCCTCGCGTGAATCGAGCTTCCTGTTTAACATTAATTAATACCAGACTTCAAACTCAGATCTCGCATTAGTAAAAAATTTTTCAGAAGTCAATTACTATTTATTTAACTGTTGGTTGATTGTTACAGATTTGACCAGGTGTGGTTGAAAGTCGATTAAAGCTATGGATGATGAGGTAATCGGTGGTCAGCAAAACAACAAGAGGTCACCAATGACTTTAAACGTTAGTGGACTATGGGACGTGGTTCCTCGACTGGACCACTACAGGTCTGTACAGTCAATTTTATAATAAAATAATAATAAGATGTTATCATAAAATCATCAGTCTCGAATTTTATTTTAATTTGAAACTAAATTGCAATCACGTTCGTCGTCTCTGCTTTGGATGAAGTACCTTTTTTATTTTAGAACGAGGAACGTCTACTTTTAATATCTGAACAAAAAGAGTTACTTTCACGACATGTCGGTGGAATGTTTCCTCATAATTTAAATGATAGCTGTTTCACAGTCTTTCTGCTTCTATTGCAATGGTATTTAGATATTTAAAGATCTCGTTTCAATGGAAAAACTTGGAGAGGTAATTTTACCTGTCGACTGAAAAAGACGTAAAATTGACAGGCTATAATTAACAGACCAATTATTGGCTGTAATATTTAAGCCTGATCTGCAATTCTATCTTACGTGTTTAATATGAAAAGTGTATGAAATACAATGCGACCATGGACGTAGCGCGTACGCAGGGAATACCGATGTCTGACTAATAACGGGACTTACTACTTACTTTCTCCGCCACTGTCGTAGTGTACTATACTATCCCTCTGATCGATTTTTCTGCTCGTCCTTGGTGTCCTTCATCCTTGACAGACACTATACAAAAAATAGGATACTACGCCTTCTCAGGAAAAGATATCACGTGTTTCAGAAATACAGAAATATAATACGTGAACAGGGAAGGAAATGAAATAAGTTTCTTCTAATACAAAGATAAATATTGTCGAAAAATATTCTTATTTGATACGTGCTCAATAATAATTATTATTAGTTTTCTTAATGAAATATTAATGACAATATGAGCAAATAGTTATAAATAATTGCAAATGTAAGACTTGTCAAGTGGTCCTAGTTTAAATATTAATTAATTGCTGACTTTTTTTTAATTCAGTTGTAATTAGCGAAATTTAGAAAAGCGTCTCTTGTTGATTTGTGTTATAGATTGAGTCGCCGAGCCAAGAGGCCATCATTGAGCACCTTTATGAAATTAGTAAATTCACTTTAATAATCGCAAGGACAGTTTAATTATAATTAATACACGCATATCCAATTTTCCAAACTCCAAACAATTTAGAAATTGGTCAACGATAATTTTAATTAATATGGAAATTAAAATCTCTCTACAGGTGGTATATATTTTATCATATCGAGAACCCTGGGAGCTGAGTTTGGCGCGTCCGTCGGTATTGTTTTCGCATTCGCGAACGCTGTATCGGCTTCGATGAATACCATCGGCTTCTGCGACTCTCTAAACGATTTATTAAAAGAACATGGATTGAAAATCATTGATAACGGAGTGAACGATGTCAGGATCGTTGGAACACTCGCTTTAATAGTAATGATACTGATTTGTGCCATTGGCATGGAATGGGAGTCCAAGGTAATAGGAGTTGATTGAAATAATTCTACTAATACAGCAACGTTCGATTGAAATAATTGTTTAATGCATTTGTCGCAGGCTCAGAATTTCTTGATTGCCATAATTGTTGCGGCTATATTTGACTTTATAATTGGTACCATCATAGGACCCAGGGATTTATCTCAAGAAGCACAAGGGTTCAAAGGATTTTCATGTGAGTTAATTACATATAATAAATGTCCCAATTTCTATTTACGTCAATATTTCCACTCACTTTTCTATACTTTTATATCTGATCTTACGTCTGTGTAAAAATAGTGACATGAACAAAAATACAGAACTACTGATTTAATAAATCACATTATGAATTAATTTAATGATAAATTCATGTTGAATTTGTAGCCGAGGTGTTCATGAGCAACCTTGGACCGGACTATCGT